GCCTTTGAACAATAGTGTTTAACTTTTCATGGCCTGTGGCTGCTTCCTCCATATATTGCATGCAAACAGATGCACTTACAGAATTTTGCATGCTGTTAATTATATTGGATTGCAAATTGGTTGCTTTTATAGACTGTAAAAAATGTTTTCAGTGGGACCAGTAGTTAGCATAATGGCTATGTCGCTGAACTCCCATGTAGCTGACCATGGTTTGAGTCCCGGACCTGGTGGCTTAAACTCATGCCAGATGCATGTGCGTGCATGCTCAAGATCCTGAAAGGAGAATGGAGGAAAAGGGATTGTGGCATGGCCATCCCTCCTGGGGGGTGATTTCTCACTTTCTATCTCTCTATCTCTCTGTCTTTCTGGCGAGTGAATGTGCCCTATAGCCAAAAACAAAACAAAACAAAACAAAAACTTCTCCAAAGAACATTTTTAATAAATTCAGATTTTACAAATAAAGTGAAAAGATCAGTTTAATGATGCTCAAGGTAAATTTCAGTAGATCACTTGGGCTTGGCATAAAAAAGAAGTTGAAATTGCACAGTGGTTTTGGACATGTCCGCGTGAATGTCTTCTAGTTTTAAAACGGTCGGTCAGTTTTCACTTTCCTTTATTATGACAACAAGTACTAAAACTTGCTTCATAGTGATAGTCATGGCAGTTAGAATGAGTCCCACATTTAGGAAAGCAAGCTGAGAAAAGATCTATTCCAAGGAACCAGTAATTTTGCTACGATATTTTGTTTCATTCATTTTACATTATTTTCTCTTCAAGACACTACGATCATCAACAAAATTTGTTAATATTTTACCATCTGCATCAGATAAAACAGTTGTAAATCCAGGTTGCAGGTTTAGCAGAAGTAATCTTATATAAGACAATCTGTGATGTTTCTCCAATTTATAAGTATCTTTCTTCATCTTGGAAAAAATTCACACAATTGTCTTAATCCAGTTCTCTCTCCTGAAATGTTTGCTTGACTAAGAGTACCCAGGTTTTTGGCAGCATCCCAACTGGTGTCTATAGGGCTCTCAGTGGGATGACTTATCTTATTCCTATCGTCACAGATGCCTGCT